GACGGAAAGCGTCCGGACCTCCGCACAAATCCTGCGGCGATCTCTCGTTGTCCGACGAGCTGCAGTCGCCTCAGCTTGTCAACAGTTGCAAGAGCTCTGCGGGCGATCTACGGGGAGCAGATCCTACATCGATCGGGATACTTCCGATTGACCCTGATGACCGCCGCCGTGACCGAGCCACTAGCAGCCCTTTGTTCGATCAAACGAGTCCGATTGGCGGACTTCACACCGGCGGAAGCGCGCTTCCGTCTACGGTCTACGGACCGATTCCGTACAGTCAGTAAACATGCGCATAATTTTCCTGAAATAATGCTCTTCCTGCCGCGCGTAAATAGCCGCGCGCCCCGTTAGGATCGCCTCGGCGTATCCAGCTGTTGCTGGTGTCGCTGGTGCGATGATTGAGGAGAAGAGAGAGAAAGATAGAAATAAACTCGAGGCAACAATTAGGTGCGGCAGCGTGTCCTTTTTGAAACGTTGCAAGTTAGAAAACTCGATACGATTGAATTGCGGAATTGAAATCGACAGGAATGCTTTGAATACGTGCGTCTGTATCGCGCAGATGTTAAAACCAGGGTTGCCGTAAATTTCGAGATTACGTCTACATGGATTGTTTACGCTCTGTCTGCGCGAATCTTTTTCGACTGTACGTTCGCAAACAGTCCTAAAGGATAGTTTACATTAGATTAAATTAAATGCATTTCAGTTGTAATTTATTTACAGGGTTGGGAAGTGACTCGTTACTTGTAACGAAGTTACAGGTACAGTTACTTTTAACTTAACTTCGTTACTTTCTCTCCATCTGTAACTGTAACTTAACTCAGCTACATTTTTTCCGATAACTAGTAACTAATTTAATAATTACATTAAGAGTTACTTTATATATATCTTAAACCTCCACAGATCGCATCGGGCCTTGCATTTGCGCATAAACGCCTTTATCGACACTTTACAATTCAAACGCAGATTTGATAGTTTTATTTTCATTGCAAGAAAGTAATTGCAAAGTAACGATTTGTTACTTTTTTAGTAGCTGTAACGGTAACGCGTTACTTGTCAGAATCGGTAACTTGTAACTGTAACTAGTTACATTTTTAGAGAAGAAACTGTAACCAGATACTTTTATAAAGTAACTTTTCCAACTCTGTTTATTTATTAATTAACTGTACAATGATATAAAAGATACATAATACTTATAATAATACATAAATATTATTACTTACGCTGATCTGATCTGTTAAGTTTTCATAACGCGTTAAAACTTGTATTCAAAGTAAACGATAGGAACGGAAAATAAAATTGCGAACAAAACAAATTTCCGATATTTCTGTCAAAATACGAATGTCCGACGATCCATATGGATTACCCGTCGTTTACGTGACACGTTAAACATAGTTTACATTTGATGCATGTAGATGTAAATTATAGTTTACACGTAAATGCCCAACCCTGCAATCAATTCGCGCTTTGAAAAATCGTGATAGAACAAAAGAAACTTGTATGTTCGCATTTCACCTTATAAGAGTAATTAACAGCGACACAAATGACAAATTGTTATAATGGCGGGTAGCTACGTAACTTGTTCTCATAATCCACGAAAGACCCCAGAAGTGCGCCGAGAGTAGAACAGGAAAACGGAATTAAATTATACGAGAACCAGAATCAGATATAAAGAATAATAAGGTACCGTAAAATAATGGTCTCGACACAGGATAGGCGCGAGAAAGAGGGAGAATCGATCGCGTGAGAATCTTCTTCAATGAAAGCGGTGAAAGGTGTTGCGGCGTTCAGAGAGAGAGACTGAAACTCAGTTTCTCGTTTCGGAATTTGTAATGAGTTAACATTACACGCTAACAAATTAGGTTACACGAGTAATGACGGCACGAAGCAAGGTGGTATCGCGGGAAGATCCAGCGAGGTTTCACCCGAGAAGAACGAAAGTTCTTCGACTCGAGATGTAATCCGAAAAGAGATTTTTTTTTGTAAATTACATTTCCACTCTATTTCATCTCGTTGCCTCTGGGTGGTGTCCCGTGACACTTTTCTCTCGTGGCTTTCCACTCCCGGCCATCCGGGATGAAAGATAAATGCCCGGCGACACTGGAACCCGAAAGACTCGGCCGCGTGTCAACGGGCTGGCTCTTTCGCGACGCATCTCGCGCCCGTGTCACCGCGACTGCGCTTTATCGAGAATTGACCAGCTGCATTCCGCCTTATCAGTCGCACAGTCTCGCTGCAGCCCGACGCACGCGAGCACGCATTGTGTGCCTGCGCGTACGCGCGTGCTGCTGGCATCGCGATAAACTCCCGTCATTATCCCGCGCAGCGCACGAAAGCAGGTGCGTGTTTTTGTTTCCGTCTAAAATACGCGGTGCTTCCTAGTTTTTTAAACGTGCTCTCGCGAGAGATAAGGGAGGAAGAGGAAGAGAAACAGAGAGAAACGCGTTACGCGAATCGATATCATTAGTCGCTACGTGCCTTTGCATAAATAAATAATAATCGCCTGTAAATGTGCCAAGCCAACTAACGTGTAAGAACATCCAGAGGAGCTTCTACATGTTTGAGGATGACAACCGTTATAATTTCGCACATATCGGTGTAATAGACGCGCGGCCTCTTGTATTTTACATTTTGTACACGCCGTATCACGTGCGCGTAATCAAATGTAATCGAGCATCACGTGAAATCATGCTCAGACACCGTATCTAGATTTTTGCCTCGCGCCGGTCGACGACCGCGGACTTAAGTATCGTTTCTCGCCGCGAAGAAGCCATATGTTCCAGCGGAATGAGATAAACAAGCCACGGCCTCGATGTGGGTTAAAACGTCGCCTTTCATATGATTCAATTCTTCTTCAAGATACTATCTGGCTGGTTACGATCGTCGCATGCTCCAGTAACCGTCGGGCTTGAACATGAAACAACGAAAGACTGTGAACCGCCAGTGGTTAATTAACAGTGAAAAGAATTGTTAGACAACTCTAGGCTGGCGGATGGTTTATTAGTTCGATTCCGACCTTTCGACCATACGATGTGGCCCTTTTCAAGGAATTTGATAACAAATATTACGTCATCGATATTAAATTAAAAACGGAGGTTTGACGTCCATCCCTGGGCGTCACTCGGGGAGCTGTGACGCCCAGAGATGGATGTCAAAGGTTCAATTAGGCTGGCGGATGGTTTATTAGTTTGATTCCGACGTTTCGGCCATACGGGTCGTGGTCCTTTTTAAGGAATTTAATAATAAATACCACGTCATCGATATTAAATTAAAAACGGAGGTTTGACATCCATCTCTGGGCGTCATAGTTCTCCGAGTGACATGGTCGAAACGTCGGAATCAAACGAATAAACCATCTCTGCCAGCCTAATAGAACATGAAACGTTGAGAACGCTGAAATCCTATCTTCTGCGAATGTGATCTCGATAATCTGATTTTTTTATCACTAGTACATGCACGATTGTGTTTGATGCTTCGGCAGGCTGCCGCGAGCAACTCCGAATTCTGAATCTGCGATCGACGTTCGCCGTCGTTTTTAATAACGAGAGGGTCCGCTGGTGCGGCTGACGACGATGATTAACTCGATGAAATGACGCGCGTTTCCAAACCGCGCCCCCAATAAAACGCTCCCATCAATCGAATAATTTAAACCACAATTAACAGCACTCTCTCGCATCGTATCTCGTCGCACATGGCGCGGGTCAAATTGAATAAAATTGCGCAGAATGTACACGGAAAGAAAAATGTGGCTACCGTAGCTAAACGCCGTATGTGGCAACTTAATTTCAGTTGCAAAATATGGGCAGCTAATATATAGTTGTGATAGCTAAATATTTTCCTACTGTGCCTATTGTACTAGATGCGACAGCAAACCGTTTGCTGTGCTTTAGAAATTTATACACGGAGAGCATTTTTTCTTAAACAAGATCGACTCCATTTTTCTCCCATTCGATTTTGGTCTCACAGAGTAGGCACCAAACGAAAGGTCTCGTCAAGCTGATTACAGATACGTCAGTCTCAGAGTGCGCACGGAAAGACCGGCTAAGGCTAAAATAACTAAAATTAAAATGTTGCCGTATAAATAGTAGGGGCATCTACATTGTTTTGTGTTGCAACTTTCACCAAGTTTGCTGCACAAAACGCATATAGTTGTCGACATGTGGTAACCATATCGGTCTCTCCGTGGACCTATTTAACGTTCCAGAGATATCGGGCTCCAAAAATTCCCAGGACATAAGCGATGAAGCCGTCTGGACAGATACCAACCATTTGTTTGGAATGGAATGGAACCTTTCGAGTCCGTTATCTCTGGAACGTCAAATAGATAAACTCTGAGACTGATCTGTAGTCAGCTTGACGAGACCTTTCGTTTGGTACCCACTTTGTGACCAAATCGAATGCGAAAGAAATGGGGCCATTTGCCTACGGACTCTTGCTCTATCCTGAAAATCATGTGATCGTGGGACAACGTGGCGTTTTGAAGGATTTTCTGAGAGTTTCTTGAAATTTCACCATACATTCTACTAGTAAAACGTATACCAAGTATAAAATTACTAGTAGAATGTATGGTAAAATTTCAAACAACTCTCATAAAATTCTTCAAAACGCCACGTTGTCCCACGGTTACATGATTTTCAGGGTAAATTTTAAGAGAAAATTCTTTCCATGTGAGTATATTTTAGTTTTTTTATCTTAAAACAAACTTATATTATACAATTAATATCACTTTTTTACATCGAAATATTCTCTTATCGCGAGTGAAAATTAAATCTAATAGCAATTATGTTGTCGATTAAAAATTACACTTCAACGATTCGATTTAATTCACTTCGCTTTTGTTGATTCGATATGAAAAATATGTAACTCGCACATCTCTAATACACAATAGAGATCATTTCGCGCCTGCATGTAGGACGTCCCGCGTAAAATACCGAAAAGTTGCAACGACCGGAACGCAACGTCGTTTGCGATCAGTGACGATAAACGCGTCTCGCTTGATGCAGAATCGCCGAGGCGTTATGTGGAGGGTGAGGTGACGATTCACTATCGCTCGCCGGTGCGTACAGAGGCGAAGGAGCCGCTGACCGAGGAGGAGCTCGCACGTCGCAGCGCGGAGAACATGCGGCGCGTCTACCAAGAGGAGCGCCGTCGCAAGTACCTCCAGGAGTTGCACGACATCGACTCCCGCAGGCACACGGATAATTTTATGTAAGTACAAAGAGTCTCCCCCTTATTCCTCTTTAATTTCCCTTGAAATCGGGAGGTCGAAGCTGGAGGTTTCATCTTTCCAAACCTCGCGGAATCACCTTCGTCGACGAAGAGACCGAGAGTCCTCGCTTTAACAACGCGGTACCGGCGAGGATAGCGTATCCTTCTCGCGTGTTTCTCCGCGCTCCTCTATGCTTTCCAACCGCAAGAGTAGTATTTTTCGATAAGATAACATTAATAACGGCGCATGGCGAAAGAACGTGTTGCATCTTTAGCTTGTCGCACTCGTCGTCGTCTCGTAAACGCTTCCTGCTATTCAGCGGCCGTTGCGTAACGCTTTGCGCGCCGCGAGCTGTTTTTACGCGGGCGTCACAATGAAAGCGTAGGTAGGTGGACACGCGCAGGTAGAAGAACCGCGAGAGGTGTCATTGGCGTTCAGGGAAGGATGCCAGAGGTGGCCCTAGATTTGCTTCGGCAAAATAGAAAGTCCCGAGTCGAGTTGGAAAGATGGCTCTCGAGATTGAAACTCGTCATTTTCAATTGACACCGCTGACTATTTGACTTAAAAATGTATTGGCCGGATCTAATTCGCGGGAAGGATTGGGAAGGATATCGAAAAGGAATAAGTGTACATTCTTCCGTGGCTCATTGCGACCGCAAACGCTCGATAATCGTCACAATGTCGAAGAGAGTTAGCGTTTGCTCGGAGCAAACAGAAAGACAATCCTCGGCCCGGGAGAAACCGTGCCACCTCCTCCGACAACACTCCGGCAATTTTCAGACCGTCGCAGAAGTCGCCCATACCCCTGAATCGCTACGACGATTTCGTGGACGATTTGAGCCAGCGGAGTCGATCCCAAGATCAAACACCGGAGCCGCGTCTGGTGGCGAGAGCGCTCTACAATTTCGTCGGCCAGTCGTCCCGGGAATTGACTTTCCGCCGTGGCGACCTCATATTCGTCCGACGGCAGGTGGACAAGAATTGGTACGAGGGAGAGTACAATGCGATGATCGGACTGTTCCCCTCCAACTACGTTGAGGTAATCGTCGAGTAGAGTTGAAACGCGTCGACAAATTGCGAGAAGTGAAAGCTGGATAGCCGCCGCGACGAAGTGCGCTCTTATCAAAGTTCTCTAACTTTTGCCCGATGCAGATCCTGCCGTACGACGGTATGATGCGAACGACACCGAAGAAGGCCCACGAGGGACAGGCACGGGCCAAGTTCAACTTTGTCGCCCAGACCAATCTCGAGCTGTCCTTGGCGAAAGGTGAGGCCGCCCCGTTGCAAAGTAGAATCTCGTAAACTTGGAGGGGAAAAAAAATGCGAATTACATTTCGGCACGTTTGCGTTTGTCCTTATCCGTAGGCGAACTGGTGGTCCTGACGAGGAGGGTTGACGAGAATTGGTACGAAGGGCGCATTGGAAACAGAAAGGGGATCTTCCCGATTTCCTACGTTGAGGTCATCGTCGAACCCGGGCATCGATCAGGTAATTCAATCGGGGAAGACAGATTAGAAGGAAATGGATGAGGGCGAGTCATGGCGGCGAGTCTAAACCTTTCGTCGAGTCGACGAAATTTATACGAAGTTCGCCCGCTATTATTTCAGAGACACCGATTCAGAACAAACCGGTCGCGTCTCCGGCGGCGCACAGTCTCTTAGCGAACGGCTCGTCTGGAGGGAAAATGAGTATGGGACCCCATCATTACGTGCCGTCCATCCCGGTCAATATCAACACAACCCAGCCCCATTATAATTCACTGGTAACTATCGCGCAATCTCGTGTCATGGCATAATTACTCCGCGGCGTGATTGAATCCTGCCCGTAACGTTTCATTACGCCATCGGATAATGGCCGCGTCTCGTTGAAAGAGACAGTTCTAATAAAGCGAAAACGTTAAAAAGGCGAATTTTATTAAGTACATTCGTAACAGCCCCTTCTCTTCGCACGTTTTAGCCACGTATGGGAGGGAGCAAGTTGCACGTGTCGCAACTCAGCGAAACCCTGCACATCGATACGCACTCGGAGCCGATCCCGTGAGTCCTGCAATTTCTCACTCTTCAACGAAAATTTGCGCATTGATTTTACATTGTTTGTCATCCACGCTTGAATCACCGATGACCTACGTTTAATTATTATATTGTACAATATTTGTTAATTAACATGTACTTCATAATAAGAGCACAAAAACCGATTACTGCTCATCAATGATCACAATTATACTGTACAGTGATGGACGGAATGATTGCAACACATTTTTTTAATGAGTTTACACAGTTGAAAGATTTGTGTTAAATTTAACAGATATCACATGTCTCAAACGGTCCATACAAATTTTTGTGTTAATTTAACGTAACATGGATATGTTAAATGATCACACTAATACTCCGTTAATATTTTAACACAAAATAAATGCAAATCTCAAAATAATTTGAAATAAATTGTGTGTAAAATTAACATCAATAAAATCAACATTTTATTCTGTAAATTTTAACAGATAAATCTTGCTACTAATAGTATAGAACATAAGTATTGTGTAAGATTAACAAAATGGGTACACATTGTGTTTTAACATTTCTTTTCGCTTATTTTAATAATTTTATATTTGAGGTCAATTAACACATGAATGTGTTAATCGTTTAACACAAAAATTTTAACCGGCATTTTTTTTTAACAAGAAAACACAAATTTTCCAACTGTGTAGGAACGTGCATTTAGATTCAGGGTTACGTTCCAAAATCTTCACGAAACCATTTTGCACGTTCCCGATCTATTTCTCGAGTAAAATTTTCCTCAGAGAAAATGTTTTGGAACGTAAACCTGAATCTGCGCGTTTCCAAACTCATTAAAAACAAATGTCGCAACCAACTTGTCAATCGCTGTACACAATAACTGTGTAGCTACTTATGTACTTATGAAATTAATAATTTCAGACAGTAGTTTATGATCACGTCTCTTTTTATAGTTAAAATATATCAAGCGGTCTGAACTGAAAGTTCATTGTGGGCCATCGGTGCTTCGCGGAATGCGTTAATGATCTTTTTGTGCGCCTCGATAAATTTGATCAGTCACTCGTGACAGGAAGTGGTATTGTCGGACTCACACAGCTACTTGCGCTTCGACAGATACCGGGCGCTGTACAATTACAAACCGCAGAACGACGACGAGCTGGAGCTGAAGGAGGGTGACACGGTGTACGTAATGGAGAAGTGCGACGACGGATGGTACGTCGGCTCCAGCCAAAGGACCGGTTACTTCGGCACCTTCCCGGGCAATTACGTGGAAAGATTGTGAGGAAGGCCGACGGTCCAGGACTTGGACGCCGCGCGGCGCATCAGGGCCCAGGATAGCTTTCACCAAAGCACTAGGCGGAATCGTTAGGATAGACACCGAATTTCTCAACGTTTAACCCGATCGTCTCCGGCGATACGTTCGCGAAGGTTTCTGCGAGTTACGCAATTGGAAGAGACTTATTGAAACGAATCCCAATCATGTTTTTATCTTCTTCTTCTTTTATCGTAAAAATGATAATCGTGCATGTACATAACACGCATGATTGCAACATCTGCGTCTTATACGGTGTATTATACTGACTATAAGTCAATTATGATAATAATTTTACGACTATTCGTTTTTTTGTTTGTTGTGCAGGCGCGCATGTGCAATTTTAATTATTTCAACGTTCGAAAATTTTAAGAGATTTTAGCAATCAACTTTTTTATGACTCGTTAGTCTATTGAATTTTTAATTGTTCTCGCAAATCCCGTTAATGTACGACACGGAAATTTATATTTTCAAAGATATTAGCTGATGAATCTCTTCGTTTTATTTACAGTGATATACAATGTCACTGGATTGCGTTCGAAACATTGCATGACATATGCAATTTCATCTAACACACGTGACTCGCGAAATGTTACTGATACAACGAATGAGACTTCTAATTAAATCCACGCGATTGCGTCGCACGGAAGTACTTTCGCCGAGTTCGGCGAACGTGATTAAAAGGTTTCGTGCAACGTCAGACGACTTTTACTCTTATCGTTCTGAGCGATGAATAATTTGAGAGACGAGAGGGTTAAGCGTCCACAGCGGGAAGTGAAAAACGTCACAACAGTCTTCCTTTTTGGGTCTAACGACGATGTTAATCGATTACGCAGTTAGGATAAATATTAGAACTGTCAGTGTTTGCGGCGTGGCGTAATGGAGCTCTCGTACGATCAGAATTATTCTCGGCATATCGGTAGAGCGTTAATATCAAAAAAAGATATCAATATCACTCGATATTCTCTTCGCATACGTTTCTGTTTGATGTCACATCGATCATTCTTTGTTACGATATGATCTCCACGCAGTCAACCGCATGTTAACGATACTCGGAAATAATCGCTGATCGTACCAGGGCCCTTTTTGTCGTCGAATTTACCAAAAGATTTAGCAAGATAGTACGCTAGGATACGCGAGTTTGTAAGTAAAGTTTGTAAGTAGTGTACGATAACAATTAGTAACTTATTGTTACTGCTGTTCCTGGCGGCTGCTGGCTCGATCCGGGAAGATATCGAACGAAAGAGAATAAAGAGGGAGAAAAGAGACGTGTAGACAATGCGACATCGAAAGGGGGAGGGGAGGGTTTCAAGGTATTTGGGAGATAATGATTAGTTTGAGATTTTATGGCGGCTGTACTCCGGAGATGGGAGGCGAATTAGCACGCGGTGACTTGTGTTGAGTTAGAGAGACGCGGACGGCTGTTTCCCTATGATTTCGGTATTGTAGATAAAATCGGCCACTGTTATTGTTACATTCGTGAATATTTCGAGACTAACGGACTTATAATTGAAAGTTTGCCTTCCCAAATTAATATTTTTGTAAGCATTATTTGTACCCAGAGTTATATATAAATATACAACACATATATAGAGAAAGAGAGAGAGAGAGAGAGAGAGAGAGAGAGTAGAGAGAGATATATATATACATATATACATACGGATATCGTACACTGTGTACCACGCGATAATACATAATATATAAAAATACCATACGTGTACATCACGAATAATTAGCAAGTGTCGAACGTAACGTACACGGAAATGTGTACATACTATTGACAATTATATACATTCATACAGTCGCAACGTGAAAATAATGTATCCAAGCCAGGTCGTCACGATCTTTTCTAACGTCACTTTATCACGATCGCACGATCGCCTAAGCGTTAGAGTAACAGAGACGAACGCAGTCGAGAAACAGACAATACTACTACAATAATTATAGAGGAACGAAAGAAAGATCATGTGACAAGGGCATTATATAGGCGCCGAAGTGTATCCGGTGGATTCGAAAGCGATAGGTGCCGTTTTTATCTTCGAATGAAGCTAAAAGAGCAAGGCCGTCTCTCTCTTCATTGCCTCGTGTCTTCGGCGTACATTCGAGCGGCGGGAATGCTTGGAAAAGCACTTTCTTATTGTTCGGAAGCACGGTGGTTTTAAAAATCCTGAATATTTCATCTGTTTCGTTAGATTAGATGGCAAAATCAGATTTTCTCTCGATCAGTAAATCGAAGGTATTACGATATCCTTACCAAGGGTAGCTAAGTGCACCGCTCGATGTGCGACGAAAACGCGACGAACATTTCGTCTCGCGTGCAACGCGAGTCTGTGCATACACGTGCGCATATATCCACGTACATATCCCATTAAATCGTAAAACTTACGGTCTCAAGTTCGACAACGTTACGAGCCACCGAAATAAAAGCCAGGATTGTCGTCGAATCTATGTAACTCGGCCTTTCTTCTTGTTACATTTCTCAATTGTTAAGAAAGGATCGACGGTCCCAAATTTCCTACGGAATATCCAAACGAATAGTACGCGTTGACGCTGCACAACGTGACTTTCTTTTTAATTACTATGAAAGGAGAAAGTAATATTTTCACGCAACTTTCGCCTCACACGAAAAGATTTTATTAATATAAGTGAGTAAGTTATCAAATTAAATGTTAAAGACATTTAAGATTTATTTCTATTCGAGCTTAACTTTGATGATTTTTATAATAATAGTACCGAGAATTTACTGACAAATGTAGTGTAACCGTTTCGGGCGTTTTGCGACACGCTCGTCACCGACATAACGCGTGATTTTTGCTTGACATTAAATCGAATTTCATCAGTTAACGATTTAAATTGTTTCACTTGTTTTCGCAACTCGCGCTAACGACGTTACTATGTATTATATACTCTAGACGCAAATAAAACCTAGTCCATTACTAAAAATCGGTTGCTTCGCGTAATACTTTTAAAACCAAGCAAGGAAATGATACTTTAGTTAGCACTTAAAATAAGTACGACGGGGATTTCTTACCTATCTCTTCATTTTCTACCCTTGCTTATTTCTCCACAACTTACGACTTCGTTCGCAAAACAATTAGATTTAAAATTATATTTAACAACGATATTTTAATCCTGCAGGCAACTAATTCATGATTAATCCGTTACATATTGTTTCCACTGCTCTCTAAATCAGTCAATCAGCGAATTATCACTGAAAACAGTGAATAATCGCTGATTTGCAGTTATAAGTACACTAGTGAAAATTGCAGTGGTATACTTATAACTAAATCAATGACTATTCGCTGTTTTCAGTGATAATCCACTGATTGACTTTTACAGAGTGCACAATCTCTATTGCTATAACATAATTCTGGTTACTCAGAAATACTATCCGAATTATATATTGATCTTTGATCATTGAAAGGACGCAAGTACGGTGAAATACGACACCGAAGTCTGCATCACCTGTAAAATGAGAACGAGTATTCTGAAGACGAACTTTTCAAAGGAACACGTAACAACCTCGTAAGTAATATTTACTGTGGTGAAGCTCTTCAGAGAGTAAACGTAAATCTTGCCGGCGGTCAAAAAATTGGGCTCCAGGCTCCTTCGCATCACGCACAGGAGCAGTCTTTGCGATTTCACAGGTATTTCGTACCAGGAGGATCCATATCTGCAACAACTCTGAGTCTAAGTCGTCGTTAACATTTTCGGTGCCGTAAATTTAAGACCTTCATGTGACCTTCAAATGTCTATCCAAGGTCAAGTCAATAGTACCACTTTATGTCCCCCTTCGAACCAAACTCGAACAACTTTTGTTAGAAACGTTTTTCCGTATATTTTATATTTGTGGAGATATTTGCGTGGATCACTTAAAATGAAACACCCTGTATATATTGTAGTACCACCTCTTTGCCGATCATATTCTCCTGATACATTGCCAGTTTTCGGGATTCCCGATTTTCGCGATTTGAATTTGGAAATTCTCGGAAATCCAATTCTTGGAATTTTTGA